GATTATTTTATTATTGCTAGATGTTAAACAGGATTCCCTCAGGACTTCTTGTCATCTCTCACACACCATATGAGATTACTGACTGGTTAAAACGGTTGGGACTTTTATTTTTTGTGATCAAATGTGTACCCTGCAATTGTCCACTATGTTAGAGATATAAAAATATCTGCAAAATATTTCTTGCAGCTTATTGAGATGGGAGTCAGAATTCAGGGTCAGTGTCACATTATAGTCTAACACTGTAGGCTGCAAAGAAAAAATGGTTTGGAGTTGTGATCACAAAGATAATTTTTTAAGGTAAGTGACAATCGACTTATTTATTGTTAGATAATGCATGGCCGTATAAGTCAACCACTGACTGTATATAAAAGATGGACAAACCTTCAATGAATTCACCCATTGGTTCTTGAAGCTCAAGTCTGGCTGTCCCCATATCGGTAGCGCTTTACTCCACCTATTATGGGCTAATCCAAGAATGGGCAAAAAGGTGGAGTTCACTAGCAACCTATGGTGTGACTTTCCCACCTGTCACTCAAAACAGCCATGCCCTTAATTATGCATAACTTTTAGTCTCAATATCATTTAAACAGGTGAGTTATAGAAAAATTAACTTCTCTGTGGGGATTGACTCCCTTTTAGAGTTGGCCTCAAGTGGCCATTCAAGACACTGCAGGTTTTGACACTTTGGCATTTGCTTCATTTCTCAGCCTCAGAGGTTACCGCTTGGTGTTAACACGCACTGAACATGTCATCGTGTGTTATAATTTCCTTTTCCTAATCCATGATCTCCCTGCAGACCAAAGTAATTGTTAAAATGCAGGAGTTTCTATATGGTCTGTGTGTATATACCGTAGTCGTTTCTTCTTCAGACTGCAGCAGCGAGTCACTCCATGGGTAGAAATAATCAGGAGTAATATCCACAGGCTAAAAGGCTAATAAGTACTGATTCTACTGTCTGACTCTGGTACACGAACGGATCTGGTGCATCCCAAAGCTTCCAGCTGGTCTCTTCATCATTCTTCAGTGTATAGGCTGTAGTTCAGCATGTAGGAGAAGTGCCGAGGGCAGGGAGTCTGTACTAGAGCTGCTATCAGCAGCAGCCCGGTCGAGTATAGGGCTTTGTATGGGCCTGTAGTGCTGGATGGTCTCGACAGCTACAATAAACCCTGAGGGGAAAATGTGTCAGTCACTGCTTAAATAAAGCTAAACTTTGCCACACAGTAGTCGAGTGAGGTTTTAACACTATTTGAGGCTGTAATGTAGTCATCTGTATGACTAGTTGGTTCATATTAGATTGGAGAACTCTGGAGTGTGAGCATATAACTATGTAGGCAGTATGTACAGTACCAGGGTAAACCTATTTGTACTGACCTCACAAAAGCAGCAGAAGAAAATACGCTGTTGTTCATTTTAGGCCAGGTCTGGAACTGTTCAGTGTAACTGAGGTCAGTATGTCCATTAAGGTGAAGAGGTCTACTCAATAAAACATGGAGGGCAAAAAGTGATTTTGTATTCCAACAGTGAACTTGGACCTTTCACTGGCAGTGCTGGACAACCTGAACTAATTTTACTAGGCTATCTCTAAGCACCTCAGGTGTTTAGGATTCAGGGACATCAAGTTTGGAAAGTGTCCAGTGTTCTGATTCCCCTCCATCATAGAGTTTTATAAAGGATATTAGCCAGCTTCTCCTTTGAACTAAAAATAATTCGGTTTCACAAAAGGCATTTAAGGCACAGGAGTTCAGCTGTTCTAATGACAGACAATACAGTCTTGGCTCTTTGGTTAGAGGTTAGCGCACTTTGCCCGGAATCCTTTTAAAGTCGGCTTGAGCAGTTTTGTAGTCTCCAGAACTGCTAGAATTGCTGTCTCTGCAGAATGTTTTTCACCCAGTGCAGATGCTCAACAGATGGCTTGGACTGTTGCAAAGATCACTTGGCACTGGGATGCCGTTTTGTTTTCCCTCATTTCAGTGGAACAAGTGCATATGAATGTAGGAGGAATCACATCTTACTCTGAATTCTGTTTATCTTTTGGCCATAGGTAAAGACACGGTGATTAAAATACAATAAACCATTAGTCATGTTCTTCTGTATTAATGTGTATTACAAGCAATAAATGTATAGATTCAGTTAGTCTGTCAAAGATGGCAGAGTTTTGAGAACATAAGGTTTCATTTTTAGTCATCTCACTGAGCCATGTAGTCATGAAATCCACAGGAACAGTTTCTTTGTACTCACTCTTTATTTCTGCCTTGTTTCTTCTATAACCAAGAGCTGTTTAGAGGTTGAATGTGACGGAGACTTCTGTCCCAGCTATTGAAGTTTCACCTGGCTCTTTGCAGTGTCTTTTCCCATGCTGGATCGATGTCCCTATTGTCAGCCATACACATCATCTAAAAGATGTTTTCTGCATTGATTTTACACGAGGTCTTCAGTCTGAATCAATCCGATTTCAGCTCAAGGCAGCAAATGGCATGTGTCCACTGATGCTGTATGTATTACGCTGTCAAAGTGGACAGGTTTAGGACTAGTTTGTGGTCCAAGCATACAACAAACTCTTGTGTGCCATTTCTCTTCTGCAGCACACTGTCTTATTGAGTTAGGTGAACCTGTGTGTCCAGTGGATGTTTGCTATAAAATAACTTTATTATATTGTTTTATTGCTGTAAAAAAATACACTTTACTGTAGCTATTGTAGGATCCTACTGGAACAAAAATCAATCTTGCAGGAGATTGGACTGCCCATCCTTGGTCTATAAAAGAGGAGAGTGTTCGGGAGAAGATGGAGAAGGGGCAAAATAAAAATGATCAACAGAAGGAGATGAAATCTAGAAGACAGAAAACATAATTTAATTGGAAAAAAAATACCAGACAATAGCCCCATTATTTTCCTCATGTTCATACGCATACCTTCACCTCCGTTTGCATACTGTCACATGCAAACAGCCCATAAAACCTTTTTAAAATAACTCTTTTAAAAATAAAATGTGATTTTTACTACTTTTCCTGACATCTGTAGAATGCTTTTGGCTTCTCTCCTTGTTGTTGTTTTTATTATCTTTAATTTATGTACTAACCATTTTCATTTTATTTGTCTTTCTGCAACCCAGATACACTTTGGTGCACTACGTTCATATCTGTCTGGATTTGTTAAAAGGCAGCAGCTACTTTGCTTCATTAATGGTCTGAGAAGGGTGCCTTCTAACAACTAGACATAAACCCAGGAAATACTATTGCAACATACTGTGCAATTACTGCTTACTGTTGTACTAGATACAGTTATTTAAATGCCTTTAATATAGCATTCAACGTGCCATTTCACTTCACATACTGAAAGTGAGGGCAGGTGTCATCAGGGTTCTTGATGGTTAGTCCCTTTTTTAAGACATAAATATCTGTAGATGCCAATAAATAAATATATCAGGAGAGTGTGCTGCCTAATAAAAACAGGGAGGAACTAAAAGGGACAGGACAAAGAAATCTAGTGTTTTAGTGACTCCAGTGTGGCCCCAGTGATCCCCTGCACACTCCGTCTAATACTGAAGAATGTTGCAGATAAGAAAGCTGACAGCGGCTAACTGACCAGCTGCACTAACCCCTCCCCTCTGCCATCACAGCCAATGGAGCAGCATAGATTAATGACCCCCTCAGACCTCCGGCAAATCAGCTCTCATCTCCAGCGAGGGATGCCCTTGAGCAAATTCATACACACATTTGAGCAGGGGAGATATATATATATATATAT